TGGGCGTGGTCACATTAGCGATAATGAGGGCGACGGCCAAGACTTGACATCGCGTTGGTTTCATACTGATTACTTTGTCACATAATATTTGTTTTATTCATGACTTACTTCGTTTAAAAGTAGACATGTTCAGCTTTCTATAGATATATCTCTCATGTGTGTGTGTCAAATATTCGCTGAGTTTCAGTTCATTTTAGTGACGCGTTTCAAAAAGATATGCGTGGAGAATGAGACGGCTAAAAGCACACCCTGTATATTTTCTTTATTTTGCAAAAGCACAATGTTTTGTTGATATTGTGAGTGTACACAAATAAAAGTAGACCCTTTACAGATTGAAATGCTGTATTACTCTTATATTTACGATCAAGTATGAAGGAGCATTTTAGTTCTTTTCGCTGTCAACATTCAAATCTGCAAAAAGTTCCGCCGCAAGGTTAATCTCTTGACTGCCGTGAGGATTGACTCGATACGAGCAGGAGACAAACATGCCTGCATCGTGGCCACGCCCAGATAAGTGGTTCTCTGTAGTGGAGAAAGCACACTCTTCTTGGCCTTTAGACTTAACCCCAGCTCTCTCATATGGGCGAGGACGACATCTCGATGCCGAGCCACCATCTGCGCCGATTGAGCTAGTATCAACCAATCGTCGATATAATTGAATATGCGGATGCCCTGGAGTCGCAGACGAGCCAGAGCAGCATCTACACACTTTGTGAAAGTGCGGGGTGAGAGTGACAGGCCAAAGGGAAGAACTCGATATTGGTATGCTTTCCCCCCGAAAGCAAACCTCAGGAACTTCCAGTGTTGAGGAAGGATGGAAACATGGAAGTATGTGTCTTTGAGATCTATCGTAACAAACCAGTCCTCGGACTGGATTTGAGATACTATCTGCTTGATAGTGAGCATCTTGAACCGAAGCCGTTTGATAGCGCGGTTCAGAAGACGGAGATCTAAGATCGGACGCAACCCCCCATCCTTCTTCGGAACGATGAAGTAACGGCTGTAGAACCCGGATGCTCTCGAGAGAGAGAGAGAGAGAGAGGAGGAACACGTTCTATGGCCCCCTTCCTCAAGAGAGTATCTACTTCTTGTTCCATTACCAGAGCCTGCTCGGGGCCCAGTAGAGTGGGAATGACCCCGTTGAAACGAGGTGGACGAGAACCGAACTGGATTCTGTAGCCTCGCTCTACAATCTGCAGGACCCATTTTGAGACATTTGGCAGAAGTTTCCACGCTGCCAGAAAATCTACTAAGGGAACCAGCCTCTCGAGGCTGGCCTCTGGTGTCATTAGAGGAGCCAGTTCGGTGCCCTGAAGCGGATGACCAGCAGGGAACCACCGACCTGACTGCTGTAGCGCCCTCACTTGAGGGGACAAGCTCTCCCGTGCCGTACTGTCGCCGGGCGGCAGCTGGGAAATTTGCTCGCCGGAGTTTACTGAGCCCTGAAGCATCGAGGGTGGCAGGGGTATCAGTAGGCACTGAGGAGGATCGGGCACCGTATACTGAGGTGTTATCCTTTCCTCCCCAGGTGGGGCTGCCCTCAGGGGCCTGACGATGGTGGCGTCAGGACCGCTTAGTCGAGGTCCTCTTTGACAAAATAACGGTCCGCAGATCTGTTTTCGGTCTAGAAGACCCCGACTGAGAGCGTCGCCCCAACCCCCGATCTTTCTGTGGAGGGGTGCGGGTTGCAACACTCTGCTTTGGAGACTGGCGGTATGAGGAGCCTGACGGCTGGGGCTGCTCCCGCTCAGCAGCCCCATGGGCCTGGGATCGACGAGTGAGGAAACGTTGGAACGCCACCGCTTGCTTCCTCGCCTCCTGAAACCTCTCGACAACAGTGTTGACTGCGTCGCTGAAGAGGCCAGAGGGCGAGAGCGGGGCATCTAGGAGGAAGAATCTGTCCTTATCTTGCATATCGGACAGATTCAACCACAGATGCCGCTCCGTGGCCACCATTGCTGCCATTGAACGGCTGATAGCTCTGTCCGTTTCTTTGGTGGCCCGGAGGGACAAATCTGTGGCCAGACGCAATTCGACTACTATGTCGGATTCCTCCTCCCCCCGGTCATCCAGGTCCCTGAGCAGGTCAGGCTGGTATGCTGGTAACACCGCCATGGTGTGCAAACATGCGCCAGCCTGACCTGCCGCCGTATAAGCTTTCCCAACCAGACTGGATGTCAGCCTAACGGGCCTGGTGGGAAGCTTCGGGGCCTTTACGGACGATGCTGAGGATGGGGAGAGATAGCTCGCAATCGTCTGCTCCACCACTGGCATCGCCCCATATCCCTTCTCATTCAGCCCCAAGGTGTTGGAATAATTTGAGACTGTGGGGCTGTAAATACAGGATGAATACGGGTTCTCCCATGATCTTGACACCTCGGCATGGAGATCGGGGAAAAACAGAAGGCCCCGTTGTGAAGGCTGTGATCTGGCTCTCAGGAAACGCTCATCTAATTTACTCATGGGATGAGCGTCCTGTTTCTCGGCTGGCCAATCGATACTTAATTTGGCATGATCTTGAAACCTCGGCATGGAGATCGAGAAAAAACGGAAGGCCCCGTTGTGAAGGCTGTGACCTCGCCCTCAGGAAACGCTTATCTAATTTGCTTTTAGGACGAGCGTCCTGTTTTTCGGCTGGCCAATCGATATTTAATTTGGCTACAGCACGAGTCACAACCTCCACGAGCTCCTCATACGCGAGGGACTGCGGAGTCCACAGTCTCCTCTGTCTCGACACTCATCACATATACCTCCTCGGAGGAAGATAGATGAAGTGTCTGGCTCTCTCTCCGGGGGGAAGAAACCGCAGCGAGGGCTTACGATCCCTGAGAGGGAGCCGTGGATCTAGCCGGGATCGCGAAGCCTGGCCGCTCTCATCAAACATGGCCAGGCGATAGCGGAGCACACGCAGCGAGACCAACTCGCAGTCACGACAATCAGCCCCCTCGAGAGCTGACCGTGTATGCTCCGCTCCTAAACAAACAACACACAGATCGTGTGTATCCCCCGCTGCCAGATATTCAGGGAGAAACA